GTGGTGAGATGGTGGTCACAAGTGTCGGGTAGTGGTCACGAATTATTTGATTAACTGTGGCCATTAAATTGGTTTAATCTGTGACCAATAAAAAAATATAAATTGAAACCAAGAAATAATGCGTGACCTAAAATTTTTTTAATCTGTGACCGACAATTTGATAAATTGTGACTTATAATATTTGTGATTTGTGATCAATAAATAAATCGTGACTTATAAATTTTTTGATTTGTGACCGATAAATAAATTGTGACTTATAAAATTTTTGAATTGTGATCGTAAAAAAATTTGTGACATAAAATTTTTGATTTGTGACCAAAAAATAATGAGTAACTAATTATATTGTTAATTTGTGACCAAATTGTATAGATCTGTGACCTAAATATATTTACTTAATAAAATAATTAATTAACTAATTAAATTATAAATAATTTTTAATAAAAATCTGATTTTAGAAATTTGAAACTTGTTTTCTTGTTTTTGAAATGTGTCATAATTAATTTCTTAGTTATGAAATTTTCCCAATAAACATTGACGCTCTCCACTTCTGGTCCAGTGCTGGGCCCACCAATCTAAGGCCCAATATATGAGGCCATCCAGATGTTTTGACCAAAATAGCCCAAGTTAATATTAAATGATGGAGTGACTGACATAAATAGCACTGAAAAATCTTATAATAACAACTTCACACAATCTTTTTGTCGACTTACAATTTAGCACTACCTTTTCGTGAATAACCTATACAATTTTCATATTTGACATGGACCGTGCAAACTTTTTTCAGTCATACTTGACGCGGGCCGTGCATACTCGATCTTGAACTACATTGAATATTTTGTAACACATGTACAAACTTGAAGATGCAGGTTCTTTTGTTCAACGTGCAAAATTGTTTTAGAAGAGAAGACCTGAGAAACATGGTTCAAGATTTTTATCGATCATATTGTTCACTGGCTGGCCATTATGATCTTATCAAGTCTGAATTTAGATATCATTTATCAATTTTCTGGGCATTTCCCATATGCTTCACCAAAATCACAGGAGAACCAGGTTGGAGAGCTTTGCCTCCTTCCTGCACGACTCTTTGATCTTCAGAATTGTCGACAAGAGAAGTCTTGTTGAGCTCACTGTATAAAGCACGTGATGATTGAGTTTGGAGCATAAAGAATTCTCTTTTATTACAAGAGAGAAACTTGAACAATTTGATTTTTAACAACAAACACACCTTATGAGGGTTTCCTGAGGAGTTGTTCAATGGATCTCCAACATTACAGGATAATATTGTTCCTCTCCAGAGTCCAGGCATGGGCATATGGCACTACGATACCATACATGGAAGGATTTCGTTCTTCCATTCAATGATGCTCTATACAAGTGTATGTGATTTGAGATGCATTATCATCTCTCTATTCTTTTTATTGTAATTTTCACAGCTTTGTCTAGAAAGAACTTGTAAGAAGACATGGCTTTTGTAATTCTAGAATTCAAGGTGCGTAATTACGAGTTAATTAAATGAGTAATCATCAATCTTTAGTTTTGGTTGCTACTTGCTCACTTAAAAAATAAAATGCTATAGGTTGCTCACTCATTTTTATACAATGTTACCCATCCTTCATCCATCTCAATTCAATTCGTCCACCTATGCAAAAAATTTTACTTGACAATAAACGGTGTTCAATCCTAATACCTCCTTTGGTTGAGGATCCCCCATTGCGTCCGGGTTCGGTGGGCTGCGGCTGGAACGAATAATAAGGGTGATGAATCACTAGGAGAAAGATCAGAACCACCTGGTGAAGGAAAAAGAGGAGCAGTGTCTGGTGATAATGCAGGTGCAGCCGAAACAGTATAGGCCTCCTGCCTAATTTGATGTATCTTAGAAAATGCCATGAAAATCATAGACAATATGAAAAATGATCTCGTTGAGGAAGCCATTTATGATAGAGGAAAAAAGTTCCTTTACTAGGAACTGAAATAACTGCAATGTTTTTGATAGAAAAAAGATGAAATAATGAATGACAAGTGGTGGATTAAAAGAAGTGATTATGGTCGGGCCATGAGGACACGTGGAATAAGGTGATTTGGCAGTGGTATGTTGAGACAGCTTGGCTTGTACTAAAGGACGAGATTTGATTAATGGGTTTTGTGTTCTGGAAACACAGGATGGTTGAATTGGTGATTTCTGTCCTCTACCGGTAACTAATGAAATGTTGGGTTTGTGATCCAAAATCGGCTAGATTTTTTTATTTTTTTTGGAAATAAATTGTTTTCTTATTTTATGTGGAAAAATTTGTTTCTTATATTTCACATGATTTTTATGGAAATATATCATTTTCTTATTCCACATTATTTTCATTTTTATGTTATGTCATGTACCTATAAATAGTGATTTTTTCTTTCAGTTTTGTTCAAACAAGAGTTGTTGAATTCTTGTATTTCTCTCAATATTGTTGATTAATAAAATGTCGTGCTTCTGCGATTAACTCTCTTTGTTAATTTCTTTACTTTTAAATCTTGTTTCTCGTTGCGATTTTCATTACTTCACATCGCGTCATTAATCTCATTCACTACAATCCTTCCGGGTCCAACAAGTGATATCAGAGCTTGATTTTTGTTGTGGATTGGTTGAGGTTTTTCAGAGAAGGCTATTTTGAAGTATGATATTCCGCAATTGAATCGTAATACAAGAGTTTCTTTATGGCAAGTAAAGATGAGAGTTATTTTAGCGCAGTTGGATTTGGATGATGTGTTGCTGGGTTTTGAGAAAATTGAACAACGAAGAGATCGGAAGGCTTTGTCGTTGATTCATCTTTATCTATCCAACAATATTCTGCATGATGTTTTGAAGAAGAGAACAATAGTCGCTTTGTGGTTGAAATTGAGCAATTATATATGACCAATAGTCTTACCAGTAAACTGGCTCTAAAGCATAAGTTGTATTCTCATCGCATGGTGGAAGGAGGGTTGTTGGAAAATCATATTGTCGTGTTCAACGAAATTGTCGCAGATTTGGAGACGTTGGAGGTTAAGTACGATGAAAAGGATCTTGCCTTGATCCTATTATGTTTGTTGCCTGGCACTTATGCATCATTTCAGAACACCATTTTGTATAGTCGAGATACTTTGATTATAGACAACATCTATGATGCTTTGCATCAAAGGAGAAGCTAAAGCATTTGGTTGGAACTACATCGAGAGATGAGAAAGCTCTGGTATCTCATGATGATCGATGGAGGGATAGATCAAGAATAAACTTCAACAATTTGTACTATTTCTATTGCATGAGAAAAGGACACGTAAAGAAAGATTGTGACAAGTTGCAGGCTAAAGGATATTTAACTGCAAATTATAGGGGCAATTCTGTAATTCTGACGCGACTAATGTTTTCGAGAATTTTTCGAATGGCAATGATGTATTATTGACCATGGCATCTGACATGGAGTGAATTCTCGATTCGGCATGTTCATATCATATGTGTTCCAATCGGAATTTCTTTCAGACATAGGAGGCTATCAAGTAAGGTGGAGTTTTGATGGGAAACAACCAATCTTGCTGTGTTGATGGAATTGGTTGAGTCAGATTAAGGTTACGGGATGGGACAGTTAGAACAATTGATCAGGTTCGACATAAATCAGACCTAAAAAGGAATCTCATCTCACTTAGTACTCTGGATGCAAAAGGATATAAATTCTCTTGTAGAGGTGGAGTTTTGAAGGTCCAAATGGGTGTCCGGGTTGTATTGGAGGGACGGAAGAAGTCTCAATTGTACATCTTGCAGGGAAGAACAGAACCAATTAAGAGATATCAGGACAATTTCAGTACCTTGGTGGATATTCAGCTTAGTGTAGTTCCTCTTGTAACGGGCTCTGAGTCGGTTCAAAATATTGCTCAGGAAAGTATTGGTGATTCTGCTTTGCCATTAATTTCAGCGGATACACTATGTTCATTTACTAGGATTGGACTCACGGAGTGTAAGTACTGTGGTGTCAATAATGTCTGGGATGCTTTTAGGGACATTGAAGGCGAAAGTTCTAACAAGAGGCCTTCTGATCCAGCATGTGGTATGGTTTCTGCTACAGGGTGTGCTTTGACCCTGTTTGGTCAATAGTAATTTCTCGGTGAAATTTTGAGAACCCGAAATTTGGATTTAGGTGTTGTATGTGGACGCCTTGCAGAGGACGACAGTTTGATTTGAAGAGTTTTGATTACTCTATTAAGAAGATTGGCTATTTCGATGCAAATAGATTTGAAATCTTAGATTTTCGTTCGTTGCACCGAAATTTGAGTCAAGGTAGAAATTGTTGGATTTGTGACCTAAATTATGGTAGATTTTTTTTTTTTTGGAAAATAAATTGTTTCTTTATATTTCACGTTATTTTTATGAAAATATATTATTTCCTTATTCCACATTATGCCCATCTTTATGCTATGCCATGTACCTATAAATAGTGGCATTCTCTTTTAATTTTGTTCAAGGAAGAACTGCTGAGTTCTTGTATTTCTTTCTATATTGTCAACTAATTAAACACCGTGCTTCTACTATTAAATCTTTTTGTTAATATTTTCACTTTTAAATCTTGTTTCTCGTTACGATCTTCATTAATTCATATTGTGTCATTAATCTCATTCATTACAATCCTTTCGGGTCCAACATGAAATTCCTGTGTTTGAAGAGAAAAGCATATGGTTTTGAAATTGCATTTGGTATACTCCATTCAATTTGGAATATTTTGATGGTGTTTGGCCTCTTTTGGCTTCGTACTAGCTGCCCCTGAACTTGACACGACCAGCATTTTTTGCCGAGTCAGCCAGTGCAAATATAAAAAATTAAAAAATAATAATAAAAAATTATGCGAGGCAGGCTTGCAGAGGCCAGGAGCCTCGAGAGCAGGCCTTGCATGGTGAAATGGTGGACCTTCCTATAAACCATTCTCTATTAAGCATAAACATTTAGGCTTATATTGTAAACTTTTAACTTGCAAAGTATGAAAAATATATCATCGTAGGCAGAGTCGCACACTGCTTAAGAAAAAGAGTAATTCCTTCTATAATATCTTTAGAAATCTTCAAAATCATCAAATCAAAATTGCTGACAGCCCTATTCTATAGACTATTCTCTCTTTCAGGTCAAGTCTCACTTTTATATTCTCACAAATCAGAAAGAATCGAACAGCAAATTCTCTGTCGACTAATATAACCCCACCCCCAAAAAGGAAAAAGGAAAATAAACAAATTTCAATTGTACAACAATTGCTAAAGGGGCCAACTAAAGCGCCTCAAGCATGCCTACAATCTCTCCAACAATAATTCTAGCCAATCAATAGGAAAATCTTACTGTTGAAGTATCATAATATAACCCAAAGTATGATCTAAATGGTAGAAAGACTGATTATTACGCCCAAAGCAGTCCATCATAGCCAAATTCTGAACTTGAAACGGCAGAGTCAACCGACTCGTGTTGATCTATAGTTGCGACATGTCCTATAGAGTCCACGTATGGTTCCAAAAGATCAGAAGACCTTTCAGATGGAATCCCATAACCTTTGAGGATGCAACCAGATGCAGCCAAAGCGTCTTCCCTTTCCAAAACGACCAAAAAATTGTCTTCAAATTCAAAGACCAAATATCTGTCCTTGCAAGCTGATCAAATGCAGAATTGTGAGTGCAAGAGAAAATAGATCATCACGAAAAGGGAAATTTGCATTCGTCATCCCCCACCAGATGGAAACCATCCCTTGTTAGTCACACGACTTGCACATGACCTCCTTTTTAAGGGTTGTTTTCGTCATTCTAAACAAACAGTTCAAAAGGGGACACTTAATGGGGAAAGAAGGAAAAATAAGTAGAGAAAATACATGGTTAACAAAAATAACCCTCAATTATGATTATGTGACAAGTCAGGTGACTGTTTGATAATTTCCATACAGTACAAACCAACTTCCACTGAAAATGAAAATTTCAGAATTTGAATGCCAAAAAAAAAAAAAAATCAATTGGGGACCAGGTGCTCCATTAGTCAAAAATTGAGGACCATACTAGATATCTCTCCTTTAGGACTAATAATGTATAAGATGCTAGTACTTACAATCAACCAGATGTGCTAAGTGATGAATGTTTCTGATCCAAGTTCCATTTAACTTCAATACCTGTAATAGAGTTTGTCTTTATGTTTCACATTATATACTAGCATTCTTACTACGCTACTTTTTCACTTGCCTGTTCATTGCTCAGATCTTCATACCCAATATTTACTTCATTTGCTAAGACCTGCATGCAATATAGATATTTAGCAAATGAAAAGTCCCATGCACATACAACAGCATATTGATTTTCCCCAAATTTTTTGATGGGAAGCCGTTCTCTCAAGGCAAACTTTCACTTAAACAAGTAGTGGTGGTGGCGGGGAGGACAGAGGGGAAAGAAGACATAATTTCAATTGACTCAGCAGGAGCGAAGCAGAAATTGATGCAAAAGTTTGGTTCATGCAAGGTTATGTAAAATATATATTATTTAAATTTTATTCTAATATCTACCTTTCAAAAAATGAAATTTATTCTAATACCCAATTACTTCTATTTATATGTTTTTGCCCTTGTTATAATAATTGCAAATCGTTTATATTCAGCCAAATGTTTGGTGCTCTCTGTAAAAGAAGTTATAGTGAATACTCTCGTATACCACCAGTGTCAATATGACAAAGGCATGGTTCGATAACAATGGATTGGACGGACGTAGGTTTGAATCCTTCTTGGAGTTCTTTTGGTATGTCAAGTGAGAATCTAATGGTTGGGTGCACTCTTTGGAAAGGAATAAACTTAAACCCTTCTATGTGTACTTGTATGAGAGGTTCAATAGTGGTCACAACTTTTGTGTATATGAACCGCATATGTGCCTGGCCTAACCAGAGGAGAAACGAAGAAATGTTCTCTCTGTTGGACTCTGTGGAGCCTCACTGTAGGAGTATATTGGGCATTACTAATCTTGTAATAGGTCACCCTAGCTTCCTGTGTTATATAATGAAATCAGAGGGGGCTATTTTTTTACAAGACAAGACAGAGACTTGGGAGAGAAAACCTTGTAATCTCCTTTATTAAAGTGAAAAAATTTCATCTGCAAGTCAATGTAGCTCTCAAGCTGAGGCGAACCACCTTACATTGAAGTGTTTTGAGTTTGAGTTTCTGTTTTCAGTTTTGTTGAGTATTGCTCTTGGGATTGCGATTAGGACTTTATCACTAACACTTTTGGATAAGAAGCTGTTTCGGAAGTAAAAACACACAAACCTGTGATAGGATCACGATCTGTTCCCCTTTGAACCTAGCCAATGAGTACCTCGCCTTTGTCAACAACTTCAACTGACCAGAAGTTAAAAGATACTAATCAACCACAGAATTGAAGCGACATATAGTATTATTGAGTCCTTAGAAAAAGGAAGAGAAAACTACCCCAATGGTATCTTCACATTCTTCCCTGTTGAAATAAGGACAAATTAGTTTGTAATAGTAATAGAAACATCATACTGTAATTTATTTGAAATTGTGACAAACAAAAAATATAAGGAAAAAAGGTCAAATAAACAAAATTCTCATACATACTCGATTAAAGGTTCTGATAGAGGTGTAAACACCAATCCAGCAACTATTAAATATGAAGGCTGACCTCCTTCAATATGATACGGAACCTTGAGGAGATTTTGTAAAAAAATCATCAATATCAAAATATCCAATCATATTATCCAGAAAGGAAGCAATTTATTCAAAATTTAAACATTTCTCTACTTACCAAATGCACACGTGGATTCAAGATGGCTTGAACTTTCATAAATTGTCCTCCTCTGATAATGCCAAGCTCTGCTACATCACCTGAAAATCTGATATTTTCTTTGTATTAGAATGAAAGTTCTTAATTCAGACTAGGGGAGGCATGATCTCTTTTTAAAAAAAGGGCAATATTACTCAAAACTAAGGGGCAGCATATAAGATAAGAAACTAATGGATATAAAAGGTTGGCGGAGTTCTAAATAATAGCAAAAAAATTAAAAATAATAAAATAATAAATAATAATAATAATAATAATAATAAATTAAAATATAAACTATGATTGCAAGAACTGACTTCAAAGACCTAATTCCTCATGTAAAGACTATCGAGGTCAAAGAGATGCTATCAAACTAAAATTGGACAAGAATTTAAATACGAGGACAGAAAAAGATTGATGCATAAAGTAATAAGATCTCCTTTTAACAATTTCAACAATTGAATTGAATTATAATCAGGACGGAACATATCTCACTATAGACATTCATACAACTTATCAAGAATAACAAGATGCGGCAGAAGGATTAAATTAGTAGTCTTTAGCTATTCATGCGCAACAGATGTATAGTTTAACATGCTACAAACGTTAAATTTACTTGGAGCATGACCCATAAAATACAGTATCTTGTATGACTGTAAGGCATGTTCAACATGAAATTCAACTTCGTTGCTAAAGTCAAGAACTTTACTTTTGACTAATGAGGAAGCGAAATGCAATGCGTTCAGTTGTTTGGAATGGCACTGTCCCTTCACAACCAACACGAACATCATCAAAACTTACAATGACGTCCCCCTGGAAGAGAAAGAAAGATCCCGCGTTATTTGATTTTTAACACCATCAACATTTTTTAGTATATGCAACCAATGATGCACGGACACTCTTGCTGGTGTTGCATGTCCGTGTCCGACATGTATAGTGTCGTATCAGTCACTGACACTCCTCGGGCTCTCCAAGACAAGTACTATATGTACTTTCCTTCACCGGAAGAGTAATAAATAGTTTTAACTTAAAGTTAATATGACATAACAAATAGCTATTTATCTAATTTGAAAATTTCACGAACAAAAATCAAAACTAAGAAAAGAAAAGTAAAAAAAAAAAAAAAAAAGATAAGAATATATAAATCTATATGTCCCGTTGTGTCCATGTTCTACGTTTTATGAAAATCACGCGTCTGTGTTGTGTCGTCATGTTGACTCGTGTGTCCAAGTCCTTGCAAACACAGTACACTACAGAAATAACAGTAGCCTTATATATTTGTTCTGTTACTTAAAAGAACAAAAAAAATAAAAAATAATAGTAAAAAATAATAATGACACAACATTGAGCCACTATTGAGTTGCCCAAGTCCATCGGCACCATTCAGATGTATCTAATTACAATGCATATTAACTATGCGTGATGAGCCCAAAAACATTATTTGACCAAGAAAGGTTAGAAATTTCTGCAAAAAATATTCCTCGACCGATGAATAACAAAGACTTCTGGAACTAATTATAATCCGAATGAATGAAAATTTGACACACAAACAATACATGGCTTAGTTTTCCAACATTTTTTACAACTTACTCTTTTCAAATAAAAAATAATAATTTCTTATTCATAATTCCAAAAACCAGAAAATTGTATGTTACAATAACCACAATTAGAAACAGCTATGATGATGTGTCTCACAATAAGATGTTTCTTGCAAGGTTCACTAGTCAACATTGAAAACTAAACTCATATGGTGAAAGGAACTAAAGCGTGAGAATAGCACACAAGAAACTGCAAGTAATAATGTGATGCAAGAACATCTCGATGGTGGGGAACAAAAGAGATATATCTATTATGAAGGATGGGATACCTTCTTCAATACATTACTGGCATCAGAAGTTGGCTCAACTCTCCGTACAAGTATGCCCTGCAGCATAAAATAATATGGGAAATATATCAAGCGAGTGTCATATAGATTCTGAGAAGCATACACTCCTAGGTGAACACGCTCCACAGCAAGTTCTATTTTTCATATATTTTTTACATTTTTGATGTCTCAGAGACGCATCCGACAGGCATGCAGTGCATCTATTTTATACTTTTTCAATTTTTGAGTGGTTGGAGATTGCCCCGACATGTGAGAAACAGGACAAACCCCTCTATGGAATATAGAAGTTGTGGCATACACTGCTTAAAAACATTATGTATTCTAAATGTAAAACAGTTTGAAAATGAGCCAAAATCCCAGGTGGTCCTGAGAACTGTTAAAAAAAAAGTTGTGATCATGCAGTCTATAGCATGTATCAAATCATATATACACACACACACACACACACAATAATAAACATTTAGACATTAAAAATAAGTAGATCTTCTAGTCTAGTTTGATGAAAAGATAGACCTCATTCGATGGAACTTTTAAGCAGGCCCGCAGAGCTGGATTCTCCAATTTCTGCAACAACACCCCAAGAGAAGGAAAACCTGAAAATGTTGCTAGGGTATTTATCTCATATGCTTCGTGGACAGAAGAAAAAAGTTGATTTTCATGTTTTACACAACTTTAAAGAGTAACAACAAAAACTAAATTTGCAAATTTTCTACAAAATACATGCAATGAATTTACAATGAGTTCCCCACTGCATAAATGATGTCACGGAAGTCCATCTTCTTGACAAGCAACAAATTCCCAATTGACAATCTTATCAGTTGCAGGTCTACAGATAGTTGTTGGGGTCTCCAGTAACCTTCAAATCATCTGACGGAACACTTTTTTTTCCCTCAAAATGGTCGGTTGTGCCCCATATGGTAGAAAGCAAATAATACGGTGCACTCTGACCATGTGTTTATGTTCGACAGGTTGCTTACGGAAACATGATTACTATGCTACTAAAAAAATTAATAATGAAAACGAGACAAAAATGATAAAATCAATAACGTAACTCTTGATAGAGGTAAGAATACAAAGGAATTTAATTGTATGTAAGTTGTTCTATGAGCCTACTAATCCAAAAATACTAACACGCCTAACAAAAATATTAATGGTTAAAGGTACACAAGCAAAACTTGTTTTGCCCCGGGCACTTGAGGGAGGCCGGGGAGAGAGAGTTATTCTCTAGATAAGCTTACCATTAATATTATTGTACGAAATTGTATGAGTCCATTAATCTTTAACTACTAACATGACTTACAAAAGTCTTAATGGTTAAAGTCTTAAGAGGTAAATGAGCAAAATCTGTTGGCTATGCCAATTATCAGAAGTAACTTCTAAGCCTTGCATTCTAATTTCACAAGGTGCAAGAAACCTCACCAGTGTATTTCCCATTCCTCTCATAGTCCTCCAGGAAATGAGATACAACAGTAGTTGGAATCACGTAGCCAATATTCTCAGCCTCATCAGATCTGTAAACCTAAAAGAAATGTCTCGTGAAAACATAAAACTGAAAGAAATCTACCAAGACTATCACTCTGTCAGGAAACCCATCAGCCTGTGAAGCTAGAAGATCAAAATACTTGCAATAAACAGATAGTTGACTTTCAAAGGTGTTGTAGGCCAAAAGATTCTACCTAAAGCAAATTGGTAAATACCAAAGCTAGAATCTGAAACCTAACAGATTTTGATATTGAAATTCGACGAGAAAAAACCTACCTGAAATGCCACTCCAATACACTCTCCCCGGTCATTGAATGCGGGGCCACCACTATTACCTGAAATATGGCTAGTATAAGCAATGACGCGTGAGGAAAAAAAATATAATGTCTTTTTATTTGTATGGCTATAAGAATACATGTCAACCGAGTGAGCTTAAAGAAATTTAGAATTATAAATCTGGCCAGTAAATGGGAACCCTGTTTGGCCAAGCTTGAACTTAAAACTTGTTTGAGGATTTTTAAAAGTTATTTTATTTTGGATTTTCAGTAGTTCGTACAATCTTACTTCTTGAGAACAAGTCTTCACTTACAGTTAAAAAGGTAAATTCACCCTTTTTTAAGCTTGACCAAACATGCTGTAAAGCAGTCTCTCATTCAGAGAGGACCAATTCCTAGTAGCACAATGCATACTTACCAGGATTTATTGCTGCATCAATTTGAATTCCAAGTAACTCAGATGAGCCATGGGCATATGATGTAACCTAAAAGTAAACAAATGGTAAATGTTGAGCTCTGTAACAAATCCTGAAAAAGCTAATAGTCCAGGAATACGAGGTAGCTGAACAACTGATTCTTCTTCTCTTTGCGCAAATTGTGTAATCTAAAAGCTTTCTACGGTTTTACTTTTCATCCAAGCAAAATGGGATCACAAAGATCTGCATGATTAATTAGATTCTGGTCGATTACCAATGTAATCAAAACAAATATTCTGGATTTTCCATACTTTCCTCTTTCATTATTATTAAAAGCTAAGCCGATTCGTTGTTGGTCCATCCAGAACAGATGGCAAAATGAGTTCATCCTGGCCTTGCTTATTATGAAAGCCAGCACTTAGTCACTGTTTAACAGGATAGTAGCTGCCACCCAGGCCAGTTGATGTGGGAATTCTTACTCATACTTGATAGGGTAAAGTCACTCTGCCAGAAACATAATAACAGATACCTTGACATATTGAGTGTTGGCAAAATATGACTGGATGAAAAAGTTGACTATGTTTTAACAGTTCAATGAAAAAATTGCATGAGACATTACGTCAACCTTTCTGACACTGAAGCATGATTGTACTTGATATGCTTTGGAGCAGTGCTCAAGCTCTGCTAATTGAAGGTGAATTGTGCAACTTTGAAGCAAATTGTCATTTAACTATTAAATATAACCAAATTCAGCTTGAAATAATCCAGTAGCTGGGGAAAATAAGAGTTGAATACAGAATTTTCTATATTATGAACCAAACTTAAGTTGCACTTCATATGTACAATGTTTGTCAAGCTCAAAAAAATGCAAATTGATACATAACCAAATTTTAGCTTTCAAAGAAACCAGTAGCTGGGACAAATAAGAGATTGAAAACAGAATTTCCCTATTATGCACCAAACAAAGTTGCAGTTCACATGTTCAATGTTTGCTTCTCACTATGAATCACTAATCATTTGGAAGAAGGGTCATATTTTTTGCTTCTTTTCTAAACCATCAATAATTCATTGTCAGTTTTAACTCCAAAATTTGCACGTACCATATGCCCGTTTAGGATAAAATATTTTCATAAAATGGATTCACAAAAGACTCCTTATACCTTACAGTTATAACAAGGCCATAGTGATTTATCCAAAAATGCATAGATAATAAAATAATGGCACAAATGGTTACCATCTAAATGTAGGATAAGGCTTCTTAATGTAGATCGATGCATGCTATATATTGATGAGAAATTATAAAACCTGAAAACATGGTGGAATGAACAAACCTCTATTCTTGATACCACACCCTTTGTTACAGAAATAGTATCTCCACCAAGCGGATACCCAACAACAGTCACTCCATCCTGCCAATTTGAAAGCAAAGAACCAGTAAGATATTTGTGTTTTTGGGTTGTCGCAGCAGAATAGTTAGTAGAATTGATGGTTGGTTGTATGCATGTATCCCATGCAAGTTTCCATTTATATCAGGCATAACTTGGAACCAAGCAACTGAGCGAGACATGGGAGATAATCGTAGCAAAAGAGCAATTGCAAAATAGCATGATAAAAGGCAGGCTAGAAGCATTATAACAGTGATATACACGCAAGCCAGACACAGAGTGGCATTGATACTTGAGAGAGTTGATCTACATTTATTACTAAACTTGAATAAAATATGCACAAACCAGTTTCAGTGAAGCCAAACCATCAAATCTGTGTGAGCCACAGCTGTGTAATTACATACAAGGACTATATAACAAATATCAATACTGTGTAAAACTACAGTATTAAGCTACAGATCTTATTTTTGCTTTATTTTTACCCTGCCAACAGCTTGTTTCCAAAATAGAAAGAAATAATATCTGATTTTTAACTATCTGACCCAGAAATATAGGCCCTGCTCAGCTAGGACAATTAGCATAGAAACCGTAATTTTGACTTACAAACTGAAAACTCTGCTGTTACAAAGATAGAAATATATAACAATAATTTGGGAACAGATAGGTATGTAGTCATATAAAAAATCCGCAACCATCAATTGAGAACCAACATGGAAATTATAGTATAGTTGATGAATTAATTTATAGCAAAATATATCATATGAAATTCTTTTAAATGCTTCCACAAGAAAATCACTGAACCAGCTCCAATGACAAACTTAGCCCCTTCACTAGTTAATGTCCTAGAAACAGCAACGAAACAAGCAAATTGCGCATCCACGTCCTAAGCAACATATGTATTACAACTAACCTTAGATGAAGGACCTCTAATCAACAATTTGGGAATACCCTTGATTAAAACTTACAAACTGTACGGTGAACTTTAAATTTATTACCGTGATCGATAATACTATTTTCCTTCTTTTCGAATATCTTATCTCGTAGACAAATATCCCAATCAATGAAACCATGTACTTAAGTACTTGTTCAAGTGTGAAATTTCAAAAGGACTATCCATCTGAATATAATCTCTCTTTTTACTCTTTAATAAAACATTAGACCCTGTTTGTCTCCCTTGAAAACAAAACTCTTTAATTCTCATACTCATTTTCAATTACATATTCACATAATAAAATATTTTGTATGCAAACCCAAAACTTTTTCATACTTTTTAACCACACATTCTCCAAAAAAATCATTATTCAAAGCATCATTTTTCTCAATAACTGCCATCAAATAGGGTCTACATACACTTGATCTTCTTGGAAAACTGAAAAATAGTCCTATCATGGGAGACATGTCAAAACATACTTATATCAAACACAATAAAAAATACAAATGCAAAGAGATAGGATCCAGTCATGATCAATCAACTTCCATATCATTAAAATGCTACCTGTGAAATATGATCTGGCCATAATCGGTAAATTTACTCAAGTAATATATGATCTCGCAGCATTTAGGGCCAGAAAGATGAAAAATATTACACAGTTTCTTCAATCAGTTATGCTAGTCACTCACATAAAATTGTATGTTGCAGATAGCATCAATAAAAAAGCAAAGCGAAAGAACTAGACAATAGATAGTTTCAATGTATGAAGATGGAAAAAAGCAACAAGTGCTCCCAGGAAAAATGAAAAGACAAATCAAGAGCACCTGCAGACGAGGCAAGCGTCCAAACTCAAGGGGCTCAGCTCCTTTCCAGAATTCCTCGCTTTCAATAGAAAGCAGAGCTATGTCACATTCTACTCCTTTTGCAAGAACCTGTAAATCATATCACTGAGTAGAGAATAAGTGCCAGCATCAAGAATTTAAACCGATTTTCCAGTACCAGGGCTGCCTCCCAACACCAAAAAGTAAGTAAATATATGAAAGAAAAAGAAAAAAAGGTTATAAGCATAGGTAAAACACTAGACTAATTAGAATAATTATGGTTATGAGTCAGTATTAGCGGAAAATGTTGGTGTTTTCTACAAATTTGAGTATCATGTCCAAAAGAAACCATACCATTGGAAGACACTCACATAAACTAACTACAAATAACTGAAAATCAAATCTTTTGATAATGATCAAAGATGCATTAACTGTGATCGTTAATAAAAGAAGTTTCAGAATATTGAAAGTGGAAAGGAAAGAAGGAGGAAAAAATTTGCAATGAAAAGAAGTTACTGAAATGTATATTACAGGACGTAAAGGGTCAGTGCGTAATATTAGAAAATAAATTTTGTTACTTACGAGTGTTCTACAGCTTTGATATGTTGGATTGAAGGGACATGCATAAAGATATTTCTAGTGTCTTTTCCTGCAAGTCCTTTCCCATTCATCTTGCCTGCCTGAACCTTCCTATTTCTTTTTGCATTCGTTCATTTGGAATCTTTTCATGCTAAGATGGCCATTTCTTTAGACTCTATCTCCTCCTATTTTTGTTATTTCGGGACATCTAGTCCTCAACCTTTCTTTTCCTTCCTATTGATATTTCTTTCTCCATCAAAATAAGGAGAGAAGAAAGAAAAAGGTAATCATGAAAGTCAACCTAGCTTAGCAGAGAGAAAGAGCTTTGGATTGGGTTCTTCCTGCTTTCAGGAGAAAAACACTCTTGTTGTTACAGGATATTCGACATCTTTCTGATCTCAAATAGTAGGTCTAACAGTGAAATAGATGAACATGACAACGTTATATCTAAGAATGCTACCTTGGCAACATACTTTTTATCATCACCCCTTTTCTTCACTTTGACCTACGATGAATAGAAAAATAAACCATAAATAACTGCAGCAATTTCACGGTGTACTTTATAAAACAAAAAATGGATTTTGTAATCAACAAGTCAGTATACCAAACTCATCAACGAAAACAGAATAAACATATCAAAATGATAGCTTACTGATTGTTAAAAAAGAAATAAAATATTAAGTTCAAATGTTCATGACCGGGGCCAAATACATAAGAAACAGAAGCATGCATGAAAAGAAACAATGATGCTTAGATATTTAAATTTTCTTAATGATGACACCAGATCCAGTTGTCAATGCCAGAAGTGGAACAGATATCTAATAGAATTTTTTGATAAGAAACATAATAACAATAATCATGACGTGAAGATACATAAATTGAGAGAAAGGTATATCCTTTTAAAACATAAGAAAAACTAAGTTAAAAATAAAATCAAGAACACAAATCATTGTATGGATTCTTTTTACATCATAAGATCGTTCAAAAAATATTTTTATCATCTTGAAATAGGTACCACTCTCTATTTCAAGGAAGATAATATTTAAATAATATATATGTGTCTCTCTGACAATATAAGTTTTTAGATCAACTGGTTCATCACGTTATCTTAGATGCAAAGGTCTTTGTTCAAGTCTCACTGCCGCCCATTTATCAAAAGTTGTGCACGTGTAAATCTTCAATGGAAATATGAATTCCACATATTTACTTGATTTAACACCCAAATGTCCATCAGCTCGAGCACCCTCAATTCGAACATGCAGGAAATCCAAAGAATTAAAGAATGAATAATTGGCCAAATTCATATCTTGACAATACCATTAGTCGCAACATATCTACTCCCATGTTAACAGATAGAAGACTGGTTCTTATATTAGCCATTGACTACCTGTCAAATCATCAAGCCTCCTATGGCATGCAACATTTACAAGAGCAGGAAAACTCAAATGGCATTAAAACTTCAAATTTACCTGTGTATCATGTTCAACGCAGTGTGCATTTGTCAAAAGCTTCCCATCCCCAATCATAAAGGCACTGTACATTGCATTGAAAAGTTAGTAATTATTTGTAAAACTGTATTTACCGCTATAATTGTTTTGAAAGAAGACACTTCTAAAATGTTTTCAGATTTCATTTCCAGACTCAATTTTCTGGGAAAACAATTGGGGAAAGGTCATTAAACATACCTCCCAGTACTCTGATACTGCCTTTGTTTCTGCCAAGGAAGAGAGTAATCCGGTGCAGTGTGGGTACAGTAAACCTAAATGAAGTAAAAAGAGAAAATAAGAGTAAAATACTTTAAACTGTAGTGAGAATCAGCGATATGTTACAAAAATATCAGCAAATGGCCAATATCATCAAGTCATTTCTTAAATATTTGAAAAATAAAATAAAAATCACGAACTAAAGGTATCTACAGAAGTATATAATAGATAATTTACTACATAGATGTTGAGAATATTTTCAGTGAGTACGTTGTAATTGATGAACACCAGTAAACAGCTTCACATGCTGCTTCAAGTGTCAAATATATAATGGGTAACGCAAATTCACGAAAATATAATATGGTTACTTTAGTAGTATAAAATACTTCTGACAGCACTTCGTTGCATCAGTTGTCAATTGATCACAGACATAAAATAGCTTAATGTTACTGCATCTTTGATGTAGTCATCGATTCTCGAGTTCCTCTATTCAATTTTTTTCCTTCTTCTTGTTGCTAAATCAATTGATTTTGTCAAGCTAGTTATATGTTGTGTATTATCAACTATTTCTCAACTAGCTCCTCACGAATAAAAGGAATCAACAACACGAAAACTTTGTTAGAAGTTACTCCTTTCCTTATCAAGCTCGGGACACTCGATTCTGCCTCTACAAAGGCTAGCTCCTCCCTAGATGATGAAATCTACAAATAAAATGAGCTACCCTACAAAATAACAGTCAAGGAGGGCATCCTGATTGCAATACATGTACCACAAAATACAGGCTCTCTTCTAAATCTTAAAATATAAAATAGGATGGATCACATCTTCCTCCAATTCTTAGGATACTCAGTGAGTAAAACAAAGTAGAAAGATAATAACTAGCCAAAAACTCAAAAGCAAGTAAAGTATAGGACTGCAAGCAACGAGGTATGGAGCACGCTGCATAAGAGAATATAAAAAGAAAAGGAAAGGAAAGTTATCTAGCTCTATAAAGAGGGTAGTAATGCACAATCTAAAAATTTTCAATAAGATAACTAAAATATCGAGCAGAAGTGAACATTTACCTTTACAACAGCATTAAGAAATGCAGCATCTTGAAGATTACCAGTATCTACCTGGAACATGTGAGTGTCATACGCTAATAAATACAATGCCTCAGAATTGTACTTAAATGTTGAACAAGTGAACTCAACATGAAATCATGGCACTCATAGCTATTGCTGAAATAATTCAATAAATGGAATGGCACAGATAATGTAGGCTCTGAGAATAGAAATTCCTTAAATAACACAGAAACAATTAAGAAAAATTGTTGAAGATGAAATGTGCCATGTATGGAAACCAAAAATAAAAAAAAAAAAAATCACAAGGATTCAAATATAAGGGTTTCATAATGATAGAAGTTGCCAATTTTATTACACCTCATTATAGGATCCTAGAAAATTTGGAATCATAAAGCCCATTTTACTATTGTTAATGCATGTGATTGTAACAAAGCAGCAGCATGAAGGGAATTACGCTAGAATTTCAGCAACTTTAACAAGCCTTGGGAAGATGAAATTCTAATTGTGAAGCAGAGATAGTTATAGCAAATGGGGGGAGAAAATAGTAGAGAGAGTTTCTTTACTTCATTATGAAGCAACTGAGTAAGGAGCTGAGAAAAGTGTCTAATAATTGATTTTCAATCTGGTCCCCTATATATTAATTATGTCAGGGAAACAAGAATACAAGATTGTGATCTATTAAGCATTTGTTGGGAGGGATTTTTCCAAGTGAAAATGATTTTTAAAAAATCTCTCTCTCAAACAAGCTTTAAATGTAGTACCTTCACTACCGTGGGAAGTCAACCAGCAAGTTACACGAAGACATCGTCCAAATCATGGGACCAGAATTTATAACACCAACTGTGGATTTAAAGTGCCATTTGCAGCAAGGTCAAATGACAGCTGGCTCTTTTCAAATTTCACGTCTATCTTCCCAATGAAAGAAAACATGTATTTCAAAGATTTAAAGAGAGAAATACAATATGGATGTCCTATATACCTGTTGGTCTCTTGAATCAAACAGAACTCCCTTGTTCCCTTTCCTCTGCGTGCCAGAAGATCTAAACGAAGTTGATTGAGATTTCCCTGCTTTTTTCCAACTACTTTGACCATCTACATTTGATAAATGGCTTTCATCTCTTGATCTCCCTGGCAATTTATGTGTAATAGCTTCACTCTGGATTTAACAACAAATACAATGGATTTCATAGGTTCATGGTAGTTAATAAATTAAATTTGTACAGATTGCGAAAACACTAGACTAATCATTGTTAAAGATGTGCTGAAGTGCAAAACAGACCTGTATGCTTTTGTGTGTGTGTGTGTGTGTGTATTTAAGCTTGTGGCTTCAATGGGTGTGGTTTCACAAAATCTGGACTTTCGAGTTTTTTTCATCTTATAATTCATTCTAAATGCAATTTATGCCTTGTATTGATATTCGGTTACTGTGTTTTTTCATATTTATTCACTCTCTTTCTAATTTAAAACATCCAATAACTCAACTTGCTGTACGAACAAGTAGCATTCATTAATCAAAAGAGAGAATATCCTTCATAACAACATGGTATAAACAAAATCACAAAAATTAAAATAAATTCAAGCAGCAGTGAGTTTTCGGATTTGATTTACCTCTGCACTGAATTTACCCGGCGTTTTCCTGGGCAATTTTTGTTTCGGATTCTGATTTCGGTCCTTGGATGATTTAACAATGGATGTAAGAAAATAAGTAGGTCTTCGGGAGGTGGAAAAAAGGCGTTGGGAGGTTAAAGTACAACGGGAAGTGGAACCGGTGGAAGAAGAAAGCATCGAGAACCAACAATTTGCGGCCGCCATTGCCATTAACGGATAGAAAAAATGGAAATGCACTAGAGCTTGGAGGTAAAAGTACTTAGTGAGCGTATATCAAAGATTGAAACTTGGAAGTTGTTTGTTTCCTTATCCACTTGCAACGTAAATATCTAATTTGCCCATCTATTTTGGCGCCTCTCCGGACTGTGAAGACGGAAATCCAATCCGCTAGATAATTATTTGATCAAAATTAAATTGAAGTGGAATTATTGATTAACATTATATTATAATTACTTGATTCAATGCATGTTCTTTCATATTTTAACCGTCGACTATGGTACTGAATTTTTTTTTTTTTTTAATAACGGAGTACTCACGGTCGCTACCTTCGATTGCGCACTATGTGAATTCTTGGACTGACGTAATAACTTGTAAACCACGCCAGCCAGTTAAATCGTACTAGGCAAGCCCTGTACGACAAGCTCAATCGAGAAAGTGTTGGTGAGGAAAATCGAACTCGTGATCAAAGATCTCCGCGCTCACCTACTCCACCAACTCAGCCACCCCATGAGGGCCAACTATGGTACTAATTTAATTTGTGTCATGAGAAGTGAAAACCTAATGGATCGAACTTGAACTTCGTGTGGGCAGATTGCCCCTGACGGGATCACTCAAGCGCAACAAAACTAAGAACTTTTTTCTTTCTCCTTCGAAAAGCTCAGTCCCACGCTTTGACTTCAATGATGGGACATTGACGCTCCAATGGACACTGCCTACCAATGGTTATCATTGCTATTTCTAGAAAATCTTCTTCATTCTTCAATTGTGATTAGAAGTGTGACATCTTTAAAAAAAAGGTTAAGTCGAACAACCCTTACCACTTAAAATTGAGTCGGGACGTTGTGAGATAAGGGAAAATGCTGTCAAATTCTATATAACTTTATTTTTATAATAATTGATGGATAGCTAAATTTGTAATTCAGCAAGCTAGAAATTTGACGTGAAAGGTGATATTTTTTGTTTGAACAATGCTATTTATAACAAAAATTGTCGATAATCGTCTTACATGACATACACATGATAAATTATTGTTAGATATTTTTCATCATTTTGCATGTATTTATTTTTTGTTTTGTGAATGATTTGTTGCCCGGACTAGTATTTGCCGTTGTGCAACGGGGATCGAAAAGTAAGTGTATCTGTTCGTTTTTGACAATTACTTCCAACAGATGTGTTCTTCATTTTAAGGGACACACCTATTCAAACAGTTGCCTCAATTTCTATAAATTTTGGGCGAATTCTCGCTTGGAAGACACATAAAAAAAAATTTATTCTTCTCTCTTTCTCTTGGCATCATCAGTCCCTTTTTCGAGTGTTTTCTTGATTTGATCAAATAGTCACAATTTGAATCAAACGCCTCTATTGTATCCTGAAAGAGATTTTCTTTCATACCCAGTTGTGACTTCGTTGGATAGGGGAGAAACATATCTTAAAAGATAACGTTTTTCGTGCCTTGGAGTTCATTAAATTTTCAGATTTCCCTACATTTTTTCTCAACAATTATTATACGTCACGTAGGACGATTATCGACAATTTTAATTGTGAATAGCATCACTCTTTTAGTTAATATCAAAATTTATGTAACTTGTATCATTTTCCCCGTCTCGTATCAGATTGAGGTTGAATTGAGGAAATTAAATTTAATAAAATAAAGTTTAATGGCTCGATTAAACTTCGAATACTTGGCATCTTCAGATCCTAGATAAAAAGCAGCATTAGCTAATTTTTTTGGTTCACAAATGGCTTCCTCCACAGCACTCCCTCCTCTCTTCGATCAGAAATGGAATCAGAAGGCAAATGGCTGATACACTATTAATTTTACTGTACTGGCATTGCTCCATCCATGCATACTTCATTAACTCCTACATTCATCGACTTGGATACTACATAAACCCGCCTATTAATCCTATGACACTCCATGTGCACAAAATCACAACTCGGGACGAGTTTTTGATCTTGGCCACCACCCCTCGAAAGTTGGTAGCCAGGACACGATTATAAGTCAATATGATTAAAGAAAAGACTAATCATATCGAATTTAATGTATCAAATATGTCATAAATGTAATCTAAAGGTGAAAGATTGTGCATCAAATAACACGGTCTTCCTCATTCTTCACTTTTGAATTCATTTGATACGGGAAAACTCAAATTCTTAATTGAAGTAAAACCACCATCTACTACAAGATTATGCCCACTAACATATTTGGCATCATCAGATGCTAGATAAAGAGCAGCATTAGCTATATCTTCTGGTTCACAAATGGTTCCCTTCAACACACCATTATCATGTATCATTTTTGCGAGCCCCTGATCATCGACCCCGGGAAAGTACACTCTCATTTCTTCAATCACAAACGGAGTCGGAATGGCAAAGGGAGATATACAGTTGATTCTAATACCATACCTGCACAGCTCCGCCGCTGCAGATTTCATAATACCTACAACTGTCGACTTGGATATTGAATACGTGTGCTGTGCCAACCCTCCCAACACTCCCGTGATACTCGATGTGCACAAAATCGAACCACGTCCCTGGGGAATCATTACTCTGGAAGCATGCTTGATCCCGGCCACAACTCCTCGAACGTTGATGGACATGACTCGGTCAAATGCGGCAAGATCAAGGTCGACTATAGTCGGTGGAGTGTGACACGCGATTCCTGCATTATTAAACATGATATCAAGTTGACCGTAGTTCGAAACGGCATAATCCACTGCATGTGCAATGTCTGATTCTTTTGAGACATCACATGAAATGAAGCTGGCATGGGAGGTTCCAAGTTCCGTGGCTGTTTCTTGGCCCAGTTTTGTCTGAATATCAGCAATAACTACTTTTGCCCCATTGTTTATGAATTTTTTTGCTGTTTCTTTTCCAATACCACTTGCTGCGCCGGTGATTAATGCTATTTTGCCTTCTAACTTTCTGCATAAACGAAAGACTCATATTTACACTAGATTTCCAAAGTACGTTTGCCCGAGCTTAAAAGTCAGCAATTCATTCTTTTTAACTGCTTTTAAGTTCGGCCAAACGTACTATGTAAACTGTTTGATGAAATACCATTTTTTGTTTTATCGAAAATGTGTCTGGTCATTTGATGTTTTCTTTTTTCGATTTAAAGAGAAAATATATATTCCCACCTCCCACTTTAAGGGGAAAGTCGAAAAATTAGTGAGAAAAATTAGACGGAGAGAATTTTGATATAATTGCATCAGTTTGGGCTTTTAAAAAGTTGTTACGAATTTCCATTTTTTATCTAATCAAAGTTAAACATTAATTTTAGGAACTCATTTCTAATTATTATTCATTTATTATCCGCATATTTCGTAAAACTCATTATTGTTCATCCTAACAAGTTATTGATAATTTTAAGTAAGAATAATGCTATCTAGCATACTGGTGCTTAGCATCAGTCTAGGTGACAGTGATGATACCCGTCTTCACTTGCCGAATGCATTACAATGTATTTTAACTCCATTGGACGAGTATAAATGACCACCATCATTCTCTAGAACGGTGCTAAGCAATCCACACAATTTTCGAGGATGCACTAGTAGTACTAAATAACATTAATCTTTATGCGGACAGAAGCATTTTAATCTGTCAACAATGAAAACTTTCAAATATATAAGCACCTTTCTTTAAATATCAGTTCGACCCATTTTGAGGAAAAAAATTTTAATAAAATTATATAAAATCTCATTTCTATCGCAAAAGTCGTATTATTCATCCCAATACGATGACATTAATTGATGTAATCGTACCTAATTTACTATCGCTTGTCACTATCCATCATTCTTTAACATGTGGCCCTCAAAGTTCCATGCCACTGTTAAATATTCTTTTGGATAGAATCTTACCCATAAGGGTTGAAATAGTTGGCAAAAATAAATAAAAAATAAATTGTTATGTCACTTGTAGGTTTGATTTTGCTTGTATAACGGTAAAAAGTATAACAAAAGAGACAAAACGGTTATATTCTAAACCTATGATTTACCTTTAAGTCTTGCTCTTTAGTAGAATTCTGCTGAATTGTAATTATGTGAGTTTATTTTCCTCTTTTCTTAATTATTAGCCAGGGGGAGGTGGGGCCTAACTCGTACCAAAACTTCAAACCCAAACCACAAGAAGATTATTTTCTTAATTATTAGCCAGGGGAGGTGGGGCCTAACTCGTACCAAAACTTCTAACCCAAACCACATCAATGAGCATCCAAAACCTATTATTGGATATTATCTCCCGAGCACAATTTTATGTTTATGTCTCGGATCCAAGAATAAAGGATTTGGTATGGTTTCTGCTTTTGTTTTCGTATTTTGTGAAAAAAATTTCGACATGATTACTTTAATTTTTGTTTGAAAACTAATTTTTTATTGCACTTTCGTAATCAAAAGTGTTCTTCTAACCATTGAAAGAACTTTAATAAAACTAGCCAAAGGGATCCAAAAATATCTTTTGGGTCTAAAAAACTCTATTCGACTTCTCAAAATTCATGTCAAACACAAACTATGAGATGACCCTTTAATTCGTCTCTGGCCTCGGGGTGACAGAAGGATCATATCATTTGAGAATTGTGTGTATATGTGTTTGAGTGTGGCGAAGAGGGATTTTAACTGACCTTGTAGAAAATTTCCTGATAGAACTTTTAGTGAGAAAAGCTCTTGAAATGCAGTTGCTCCTGATATATTATACCCAAAAAAAAAAAAAAAATTTAAATGAGATTTATAAGCAAATGCTAGATCTCTGTCTATAAAGAAACACAGAAACACATTTCTAGATTTTTCTTTGTAATTATATTTGATTGAAGAAGTATTTGAAGAGAGATAAACTAACCTTAATCCAATCTTAAACATATTCTCTGATTTTCTAGTGAAAAAGAGCTCCCAGTGTTTGCGGTAGATATGAAACTTCGAACTTATGATAATTTTGTAGGGTGAGAGAGGAGAAGTGTAAGTGTTTGATGCAGATAAAGAACTGATGTAGCTTAGGTAAGAAAGGAAGTCGGCAAAGTTGAGCATCTGTTGAAATGCAAATGACAAGACAAAAGATGCTCTCAGAATGGTGTCCCCATCTAGTCACCAAACTCACTGAAATTTTGACACCTAGAACTTATAATGATGTGTCAGAATTTGATTGGTGAAAGCAAGACAAGATTAATATTATCTGGTACCATAAAACATCATCTGATATAAAAAATGTGACATTAAATGATAAATTATACTAAACCCATATTTGACAGTTATTATTTGAAAACCCTTTTTTTGCGTATTCAATTTCAATCACGCATTTACAAAATAAAATATTCTACACGAAAACTTAATTTTTAACAACACATTTTTCGAAATGATGACCGTAAAATAGGGGCTAAATATGGTATAATGATATTCATTTAATTGGAACTATCGTGCGTTGCCACATGAGGTGGTATTTTATTAGCAATGGTACTATATACCATTACTCGCAAGACAAAGAACAATTTATTTGAACTCGAGCTACAATAATGTCAACCGAGACACTACATATCCCTCGGGGTGACAGAAGGATCATATCATTTGAGAATTGTGTGTATATGTGTTTGAGTGTGGCGAAGAGGGATTTTAACTGACCTTGTAGAAAATTTCCTGATAGAACTTTTAGTGAGAAAAGCTCTTGAAATGCAGTTGCTCCTGATATATTATACCCAAAAAAAAAAAAAAAATTTAAATGAGATTTATGCTTAATGCTAGATCTCTGTCTATAAAGAAACACAGAAACACATTTCTAGATTTTTCTTTGTAATTATATTTGATTGAAGAAGTATTTGAAGAGAGATAAACTAACCTTAATCCAATCTTAAACATATTCTCTGATTTTCTAGTGAAAAAGAGCTCCCAGTGTTTGCGGTAGATATGAAACTTCGAACTTATGATAATTTTGTAGGGTGAGAGAGGAGAAGTGTTAGTGTTTGATGCAGATAAAGAACTGATGTAGCTTAGGTAAGAAAGGAAGTCGGCAAAGTTGAGCATCTGTTGAAATGCAAATGACAAGACAAAAGATGCTCTCAGAATGGTGTCCCCATCTAGTCACCAAACTCACTGAAATTTTGACACCTAGAACTTATAATGATGTGTCAGAATTTGATTGGTGAAACATTGAAATGAAACAACAAGACAAGATTAATATTATCTGGTACCATAAAACATCATCTGATATAAAAAAAGCGACATTAAATGATAAATTATACTAAGCCCATATTTGACCGTTATTATTTGAAAACCCTTTTTTGCGTATTCAATTTCAATCGCACATTTACAAAATAAAATATTTTACACGAAAACCCAATTTTTAACAACACATTTTTCGAAATGATGACCGTAAAATAGGGGCTAAATATGGTATAATGATATTCATTTAATTGGAACTATCATGCGCTGCCACATGAGGTGGTATTTTATCAGCAATGGTACTATATATCATTACTCGCAAGACAAAGAACAATTTATTTGAACTCGAGCTACAATAATGTCAACCGGGACACTACGTATTAATCATTATTGAAGTTTTCCAGTAATATTTGTAAGATATTCAAGAAAAAATTATTTGGTACATAAAAACAAAAATAATATCTTAAGCTTTGCTTATTTTAAGGATACTATAGATATAAAGTACCTAAAAAAGCTTAAAGACAATAACGCGAAAAATCCATTATGCAAAATAAATCGCAGGAGATCTCTTCATGATTTGAGATGAGAGAAGTTTGTCGACGATAGTTAATTATTTCGTACGAATAATAAATTAATAGTTGAAACTTATCCAAGTGTAATTATATTTGATTGAAGAAGTATTTGAAGAGAGATAAACTAACCTTAATCCAATCTTAAACATATTCTCTGATTTTCTAGTGAAAAAGAGCTCCCAGTGTTTGCGGTAGATATGAAACTTCGAACTTATGATAATTTTGTAGGGTGAGAGAGGAGAAGTGTTAGTGTTTGATGCAGATAAAGAACTGATGTAGCTTAGGTAAGAAAGGAAGTCGGCAAAGTTGAGCATCTGTTGAAATGCAAATGACAAGACAAAAGATGCTCTCAGAATGGTGTCCCCATCTAGTCACCAAACTCACTGAAATTTTGACACCTAGAACTTATAATGATGTGTCAGAATTTGATTGGTGAAACATTGAAATGAAACAACAAGACAAGATTAATATTATCTGGTACCATAAAACATCATCTGATATAAAAAAAGCGACATTAAATGATAAATTATACTAAGCCCATATTTGACCGTTATTATTTGAAAACCCTTTTTTGCGTATTCAATTTCAATCGCACATTTACAAAATAAAATATTTTACACGAAAACCCAATTTTTAACAACACATTTTTCGAAATGATGACCGTAAAATAGGGGCTAAATATGGTATAATGATATTCATTTAATTGGAACTATCATGCGCTGCCACATGAGGTGGTATTTTATCAGCAATGGTACTATATATCATTACTCGCAAGACAAAGAACAATTTATTTGAACTCGAGCTACAATAATGTCAACCGGGACACTACGTATTAATCATTATTGAAGTTTTCCAGTAATATTTGTAAGATATTCAAGAAAAAATTATTTGGTACATAAAAACAAAAATAATATCTTAAGCTTTGCTTATTTTAAGGATACTATAGATATAAAGTACCTAAAAAAGCTTAAAGACAATAACGCGAAAAATCCATTATGCAAAGTAAATCGCAGGAGATCTCTTTATGAGTTGAGATGAGAGAAGTTTGTCGACGATACTTAATTATTTCGTACGAATAATAAATTAATAGTTGAAACTTATCCAACAAAAAGTAAAAAGAGATCAAAATATGCAATGCGCAATGGCTCTTTATTGGAATCTTAACTGGGGGACAAAGTGACAAAACCAAAAAGGAAATTTCTTGGATTAGAAAAGCAACCTGCAAATAATTTTTGTGAACCACCAATCTTTTTTGCCCAATGCCTCTAAAGATATTAAAGAATCAACGTCTAAGCTGCCGGCCAAAGATATCATTTTATTGAATCCAAGAATGTAGCATAAAGGGGAAGCACAGTAACCTAAAATATTGTTCACTTTGTAATCGTATAATGTTACGTTATTATCATTATCTAATTCCATTTACACGTCCAACTGCAGTTATTTGTATACCTAACAGTATATAATTACGTGTACATAATTCATTTTGATATAGTTCCAACCAAATTATATCAATATGTTGGATTTTTTAACCCAAATTAGATTGGATTTTATTTTTATTTTTTTGAAAATTTTTGTTTCCGTAATTTATTACACGCGCTTTTGGAAAAATATTAGCTCCTTTATTCCACTCTTTTTTATTGAAAAAATATTGTTTCATTTATTCCACATGATTTTTTATCTTGTTTCCATCTTTATAGTATTTATAGGATTTGGCATGCACCCGTATAATAATAAATTATTTTCACAAGTTTCGTATTGCTAGAATACAAAATAATTGTGTCGGTACAGTTATTGTATTTCTTTTCTCAATATTCGTCAATTAAATAAAACGCTCCATTCACCTGTCAATTAATTTTTTACCTTTTATCTTGTTGTTTGTTTGCAATCATATATTTCATATCATATCATATATATTATCTCCATCCATTTTATTTCTCAACAAGTGGTATCAGAATTATTGCTTGTGATTTGTTCGAGGTTTTTGTTAATGATGATAACCATAAAATATGAAATTTCGCTCTTGGATCGTAATACAAAATTCTCGTTGTGACAAGTAAAGATGCGAGTTGTACTCGTACAGATGGATTTGTATGATGCGTTGTCGGGATTTGATAAAATGCTTGCAAATTGGACGACGGAGGAGAAACAATAGAAGGATCGGAAGGCACTTTCACAAATTCATCTTCATCTCTCTAGCAATATTCTTTAAAACGTTTTGAAGGAGAAAACAGCAACTGCGTCGTGATTAGAGTTGGAGCAATTGTACATGAAAAATTCTGGCAAACAAATTGCATATAAAGCAAAGGTACCCTATGAATCGATTAAAACCTCAAATTCATACTAAAACCATAATGATTCAACTAAGCTGAGCCAAGGATTGTTTGGCAAGCTGCTGTAAGTTTTCGATGAGATCCTTAATAAAATTCTAGAAGATTCACGATTTATGAGGGCCAAAGATATCATTTTATTGAATCCAAGAATGTAGCATAAAGGGGAAGCACAGTAACCTAAAATATTGTTCACTTTGTAATCTTGTAATGTTACATTATTATCATTATCTAATTCCATTTACACGTCCAACTGCAGTTATTTGTATACCTAACAGTGTACGTGTACATAATTCATTTTGATATAGTTCCAACCAAATTACATTAATATGTTGGATTTTTTAACCCAAATTAGATTGGATTTTTTTAAATTTTTTTTTGAAAATTATTGTTTCCATTATTACACGAGCTTTTGAAAAAATATTAGTTCCTTTATTCCACTCTTTTTTATTGAAAAAATATTGTTTCATTTATTCCACGTAATTTTTTATCTTGTTTCCATCTTTATGGTATTTCTAGGATTTGGCATGCACCCATATAATACTAAATTATTTTCACAAGTTTCGTATTGCTAGAATACAAAATAATTGTGTCGGCACAGTTATTGTATTTGTTTTCTCAATATTCGTCAATTGAATAAAACGCTCCATTCATCTGCCAATTAATTTTTTACTTCATAATATGTCATATATATTATCTCCATCCATTTTATTTCTCAACAAGTGATATCAGAATTATTGCTTGTGATTTGTTCGAGGTATTTGTTAATGATGGCAACCATAAAGTATGAAATTTCGCTCTTGGATCGTAATACAAAATTCTCATTGTGAGAAGTAAAGATGTGAGTTGTACTCATACAGATGGATTTGTATGATGCATTGTCAGGATTTGATAAAATACTTGCAAATTGGACGACAGAGGAGAAACAATAGAAGGATCGGAAGGCACTTTCACAAATTCATCTTCATCTCTCTAGCAATATTCTTTAGAACGTTTTGAAGGAGAAAACAGCAACTACGTCGTGATTAAAGTTGGAGCAATTGTACATGAAAAAATTCTAGCAAACAAATTGCATATAAAGCAGAGGTACCCTATGAATCGATTAAAACCTCAAATTCATACTAAAACCACAATGATTCAACTAAGCTAAGTCAAGGATTGTTTGGCAAGCTGCTGTAAGTTTTCGATGAGATCTTTAATAAAATTCTAGAAGATTCATGATTTATGAGGAGCTTTTGATACGGATACTCAATTAATTCGGACTTATTTAGTATTGAATTGGGACCAAGACATATATATATATATATTCTACTGAAGATTGAATACCTTAGCACTCCAAGATTCTCGCGAATATTTAGAAAAATGATATGAGCGGGTAGCGGGAATCGTATTGCATCATTAGCAATTTACTTTCAATATACAAGCTAGACCCCCTTTCATTTCATCCAGATGTGGGAGAGTCGGAGTCGAAAAGAGGATTCCTCACTTTTTTCTCTCATTCAAAACCGTCGTGCAGGAGAGTTGTATGCTACGTTTGAGAATGATGAATAGCTCCTGAAAAGGAATCTACCAATCTCTCCCAATTGGTTGGACCGTAGGTGCGATGATTTACTTCACGGATGAGGTCTCTGGTACTCTTGTCGCATGGCAGAAAGTGGATATTTGGAAAATCATCTGGCTGTATTCAAGGAGGTCGTTGCTGATTTGGAGAGTTTAGAGATAAATTATGATAAAAAAGAATTGGCTTTAATCCTTTTTTGTTCACTGTCCGCTTCATTTACTTCGTTTAAAAATACGATCTTGTATAATCGTGATACTCTCATCATTAAATATGTGTATGATGCCTTGTTTTCAAAAGAGAAGATGAAGTATCTGGTTAAATTTGAGGACGGAAATAGAGAAGGCCTTATTGTTCATGGTGATCAGAGTAATGGTAACTCAGGATCAAATATTAGTAATCAAGCTTGTCATTATTGCAAGAAGAAAAGACAC